GCACCCACTGCTTCATAGCACCATCATGGCCCAAAAAGATGGTTCCAAAGTGCAGATCCTCATGAATTCATATTATTTTTATGTGGGGCATTTTTCTGGTGTAATCTGTGGCCAAGGACATGATATGTGATGTGATGGGGAATTCGAGGTGACCCAGTGCAAAAATCCTAAGGATCCTGCTTTGGAATTCCAGTTTTGCACTGTGGTGCCTCCACAAAGCAGTGGATACATGATTTTTTTGGTGCAAGCTGTGGCAACAAATATATTTGATGTGATGGTGAGTTTGGGGTGACCCAGTGCAAGAATCCTGAGATTCCACACCTAGGAACCATGTTTTTGCACTGTGTCAGTGACTTGATGTAGCAGATTTGTCATTTTTGTGATATAATCTGGCTATGGACATGATATGTGATTTGATGGTGAGTTTGGGATGACTCAGTGCAAAAATCCCGAGGATCCATGCTTTAGAACCACATTTTGTGTGTTGTGGCAGTGCCTGATTGTTGTGGTGCAAGCTGTGGCCATGGATATGATACGTGATTGGATAATGAATCTGGGGGTGACAAAAAGTACAAAACATGAGGATCTGTGCTTCAAAACCACATTTTGGCACCATGATGGCTGGCACCACTAAGCAGTGGATGTATGGTATTTGTGGTGCAGTATGTGTCTATGGACGTGATACACAATTTGATAGTGAGTTTGGGGTTACACAAAAATCCTTAAGATCCATGACAATCTTATGTTTTTGTGCCATCGCAGCGCCACAAGGCAGTGGATACATGATTTTTCTGGTGTAATCTGTGGCTTTGGACATAATATATAGTTTTATGCTGGGTTTGGGGTTACCCAACACAAAAATCATGATGACCTATGCTTTGGAAGTACATTCTTGTACCATGGCGGTGCCATGAAGCGGTGGATACATGATTTTTGTGGTGCTGGCCTGACCTGAACACCCAAGGCTAGCCCAATCTCGTCAGATCTCAGAAGCTAAGACTAAGACATGATCTACAATATAATGGTGGTTTTATTTTGTTTCAACATAAAAATCATATGAATTCATGAGGATCTGTGTAAAATTATCTATATCCAGCTTCAACCTAAGCTCCCTACATGCTAATATAAGCATGCCTGCATTACTTTTGTTCCAACTTGTTTACTCCATCTGAGAAACCATGCAAAGCCAGCTTGGTTACCACTTGTACTGTGTAAGCCGCCCTGAGCCCGCACCCAGGGAGGGCGGGGTATAAATGAAATAAAATAAAATAAAATAAATAATAAATAAAATCTCTATCTGGTACTATTTGAATGGGACTACAATTGAGCAGGACTACATTTAGGTTTGAATTCCTACTCTGCCGTGGAATCCTGGGGCTAGACACTTTATCTGAGTCTAACCAGGGGTCATTTCGTAGAAAAAGAGCATATGCCACACCCCCTGACATCACCGAAAGTGTGTCCTCCCCACAGCCGGCGGCGACCTCCAGTGGGCACCAGCAGGGAGCTCCAGGCCCCGCCCTCCCGCACCTCACCCGGGGGGATGGCGTCCCCCCGCGTCCCCCCCCCAAATGACCCCTGAGTCTAACCTTCTTATCACAAGGTTGTGAGGATAAAATGAAGGACAGGAAAAAGGTGTTGTAAACTGCTTTGGGTTATTATGCAACAATATTCAATTACTGATTTTAAAAAACAAACATGTGGTGGGGGAGTGGCTACTGTCAGGGGACTGGGGACAGGACTAATACAGGAAAACCTGCCCAGTTGCTGATTCACTGTATTGGCAGCCATCATGAAACGAAAGTATATTCTGTGGAAAACCCCTCAATGTTATTACGTAGTTCTATATAATATATAGCTTTACTCTGAGAAAGGTCCCATGTTGATCTTTTAAAACTAAAATTATCAAAATATTTATGTTATTAGATAACATGAAATGATAGCTGCAGAATATATTTAATTCATGAAACGCTATTCTGACAACAGGATGGTATTATAAAATACTAAAGGGCGTGTCCAAAATTCATGTTTCATTTTAAAGCAAAATTAAATACTCAGAAGAAAACAGTGTTTGAGTCTGTAAACAGGCAAATAGTTTACAGCAGTCATGGAACTCCCTGAATTAGAGACATAATAAACACCCATGATTCTTTGCAGGACTAAGTAGTTGTAGTCCACAGTGGTGAAAAATGACATGAAAAGGATTTTAGCTAATGTGCAACTAGTAGGCTTGGGCTATACAGAAACCCCCAGACTGCAACACTCTTTACTGCAAAGAAAACATGCACATGCAGTTAAACTAGCAAGATCTGGTCATCAAGAAACCTTAATGGAATACACTTAACCTCAATGAATCGAGGCAGCTCCTCCATGGGTCAGCCATACAGAACTCAGTTGATACAGCTTGTCTCATTGATAGCTCTGCTTTTCCATGCTGCTGCCAGTTTCCAGCAGTCTCAAGGAAGCGCTGTAGACAGTACAGGTGATTCTTGTGGGCTAGCTGTTCTGAAGCAGCCCTCCGTGATGGCCATTTTAAATAGCCTTAAGTAGACAGGACTCAGTTCTAATGGAATTGTGATTAACTAAATTCTCACATTTTAGTATAGTGTCTGTCTCACCATACAGAAGATGCTTTCAGAAGAATGTTTGCCATGAAGCTGTATCTTGGTGCCTTTATTGTTTCAAAAACAAACGTAAGAATTGGACCTCATGTAGTCGACAGATAAAATAATCAGGAATTAATTTGTACAGCAATCAGGGCCGGCCCGAGGTTTTCTTGCACACTAGGCAAGGCTAGCTTATGGTGCCCCCCCCAGGCGAGGCTGCCTTGTGGCAACCCCCCTCACCGCAGATCTATATTTCTCCAAGCTAGCCCCTCCTTCGAAATCCATGCAAGGACCAGGGGTTGGGGGGGGCAACTTTGCTCAGGATTGCACGGTTAGGGAAGCAGTGGAGATCCTGAGGCAAAAAGAGGCACCGGGTGTTTGGCGCGCAGGGGGTTTCCTGGAGGGAGGGAGGGAGCCATCCTGGATTCCAAGCAGCTCCAGCACAGTCTCCAAGCCTGGCGCACCAGTCCCTGGCCTTGTTTTCCAGAGGGCCCTTTAGGTAGGGCGGTGGTTTGGGATTACGAAGGAGACCAAGTCACAGGAACAGGAGCCACTTTCCTGGCTATGTGCAGTTCACTCAGGGGAGCGGCTGGGAGACCCAGAGCGACGTCCTGCTTTGCTCTTCTCCCCCCCCCCCCCCCCCGCCGCTGCTGCCTTCCGCAACCGATTGGCTGCCTGGGAAGCTGGAGACAAAGGCCGAGGGACCACGGGCTGGGGCTGAAGAAGAGGGGCGCTCCCCGCCGCCCCTCCAGCAGCCAAGGCGGGTCAGCTTCTCGGAGAACAGAGAGGCCCGAAGCCCGGGGAGGACTGCCTAAGGAAATCAACATGGAAGCCGGCTCTTCAAACATCTGCCTTGGAAATATGGCCATTAGTTCAAGAGAAAGAGAGCCCGGCGGCTTCCCAGCCAGGACCACAGCAGAGGAAAGGCATTTTTAGAGAGGACAGAAAGAGTTGAATTTTGCCAAGCAGGTTTTTATGCACAGTGTTGTTGCTTTACCAGCGCCGTATTGGAGAGGAAACGGGAGACCCAGTCTGGAGCGGGCACCCAGAAAGCCATGCTGGGGGCGGGCGGGCAAGCGGCGGCAGGGGCCTCGCTGCGCCCCTCGGAGATCTGCGCTCTAGGCATTTGGCCTAGTTGGCCTAGTGGAAGAGCCGGCCCTGATAGCAATTTAATTGAGAGATATTCTAGGTCCTTTTAATAGTATGTCTGTATTTCATATGTCAGTTCAGGCTATAAACTATGGTGAAGACCAGAGAGATAGTGAAATAAACATGCAGTGGAAAATTTCATATCAGTATTGAGTTTGGTATTAACTCGGTCCCAGAGCTGTGAACACTGATGCTATACGTACTGGTTTGATCAGGATATGTAGTCTCACTGGGGCGTAAGTCAACGTGCCCAGAATACAAAATATCTTCCCCCGCCCCAACTTTCAGCAGAAAGCTGCAATTTACACCCATGTAAAGAGATAGTGCTTTAGTAGTCCCTTTCCCATTCACATGGAAGAGGTGGCACTGTAGGTTTCCATGTCATATATTTCTTCCACATACATAATCTGACTGTCCTAAACCATCAACCATTTTATACTACAGGCCATGTATAAACAAACCAGAAGCAAATGTGAAGGGGAAGTGAATTATATGATGCATATTTTGCTTATGTTAGTGGTACAGCTGCCATTGTTCAGTGATATGATCTACAAAACAGTTGCACACTTCTATGATTGAGCAATATTTCTCCCCAATGCAATTTTTAATAAAAGTTACTAGAATTCATACTCTGAGAAGTATTTGGTACTGTATTTTCAAGACATCTTTCATGAAATATGTAGAGAAATATTACACACCCTCTCACTACTAACATAATACCCTTAGAAACCTGGTATTTTTGGCCACTGTGTGACAGAGTGTTGGACTGGATGGGCCATTGGCCTGATTCAGCATTGGCTTCTCTTATGTTCTTAAGTGTTACAGAATCCTCCTGTAAGTGCTTCTGTCACTTTTAAAAAGTTGACTGCACCAATAGCTCACCTTTGTGTGCACACTACAGTAAGTAACGGCAGTTAACTAGGCATTGGTCGGATGAGGTAATAAATTCCTGCTTTGACTTATTAGAGACAACATGTGACTTTCTAACTGTCCCTCATTGTTGTCTTAAGCACTAAAGAAAGCCCTCTATCCACAAACTTTGTTTAAGAGTAGGTTTTTTTCTTTTTTGTTTTTAAAGGTACTTTATACAATTATGTAATTCCCTGTACAATGTCTGAGTTACGCACATTTTTATTTTATAGAAATTACAAAATCATCACAAATCTGATGAGGGACAATAAAATATACAAAGCATGGAAATACTTTTTTGGTATAGGAAATGGACCTAGCTGTCCCTCCCCCCCCCACCCTGTAACAGCAACAATTAAAAGACAAGATGGTGAAATATAGCAGCACTGAAAACTACATGTTTGCAACATAAGCTACAGTGTGCAATATAGACGAGTCTTGGAAACCAGCTTGTATGCTTGTTTTATAAATATGTAAATAAAACTATTTTACAACATCAGAAGTGTAAACAAAAAATTAAAATCCAGCCTTTTAAAATTGACGAAATGTTCAAGTATTAAAATACAACTGATCAGGAAGGTGGCAATTCCAAATAACCATATTTGGCAACAGAACCTACACAGCTTCAGTGGGACTTGCATTCAGCTATCTTCACAATTTTGGTCAAATGTCTTACTTTAAAAACTTTTAATTTAAACTCTACCAGGGAAGTTGTGGTTTTGACAAAAGCATTTTCCGTTAAATTAAACTGCAGTGCCATGTAATATAATTTGACTTGATGGAAAGTTAAAAGAGCCTCCATTTTAAAGGAGAACAATAGACAACTACTTGTTTCCCTTTGCGATAGAAAGCAGAAGAAAGGCTATCCAAGTTTTAGACTGCTTAATAATACTAGAAAAGCATAAAGGAATAATTTTGTTCTCTGCACTGAGCCAACTAATCTAAGATATTATCCCTCAAAGTATTCCAGTAGTTAACCCACCTCTATCCATAATCTTGTTTAAGCATATTTTACATTAGAGGATATCTGTCTCCAGGCTTAGTTTGTTAGAAAGTGCTTTGAAATTACTAAAACTGCAATCTCATACACACTTGCCTATAAGTCTTATGATTTAAATGGGACATTTCAGGATCTGTATATATTCCAAAAAACTGCATTACACCACGTCAGACCACTGGTCCATCTAGTGCAGTACTATATAACTCAGCTGGATGTGGCTAGTCATACGGAGGTCTGAAATCCCTTTCAAATGGAAATGCCAGGGACTGAAACTGGGACTTTTCCATGCAAACCATGTACCTCCCACTGAGCAAAGCTCCATCTTTTAACACTGCACAGGATTGGGTCCCATGTTCTGCAGCTTAAGTTTCAAAACTCCTCACTAATTTTAATTCTAATCACACTTTTCAGAAGGGATTCCAGGACAGTATGTGATTTTAATGCAGTCTCAAAATAGCTATGTTTTAGCTAAGGTTTTAAAAAAAAAAACAGGTAGACACTCATACCATATCCATGACCCCCCCCAAAAAAAAAAATTAGAAAAATATTTACAGTCTGAGAGCAGTTCAGTGATGGATATTCTCATACACATACAATTATTTAAAACTCTGAATAAAAAGGTTAGCACAGCCAAGTTTTGAAATTCTTGGGGGAAAATATATATTATATATTGTGCATAACTTGAAACATAAATTAATTTTTTCCTGTTTTACATTTCTATTCTTTACATTCTATTGTGGCTACAAAAAGCTCTCTTTCAAGATTTTACATTTATCATAACATTTTCACTATTCTGGACAAAAGACTGTTTCTTCATTAATTTGCTGAAAAGTCCATTTGGATTTGCAAGCAGTGTTTCATGCTTTCCACACTCAATAATTCTGCCTTGGTCAAGAACTGCAACACAATCTGCGTTCTGAATGGTGGAAAGACGATGAGCAATAATGAGGACAGTCCTCCCTTCCATAAGTCGATCTAATGCCTCCTGGACAAGGTATTCATTTTCAGCATCCAAAGCACTAGTTTGTGAAGAGAAGGAAGCAAAAAAGATAGGTTATTTTCCCTCAATCATTTTTAGGGGCTGTCAATTCTCTCTACTCTCTCATGGATCACTGCCTTGACGTGGCGAGGGGCTTGCGTGGTTCAATGAGGCTGTGGGCTATACCATGGAGGACCACCCAGGATGGACAGGCCACAGTGGAGAACTCAGACAAAACGTGAACCACTGGAGAAGAAAATGGCAACCTACTCCAGTATCTTTGCCAAGAAAAGCCCATGGACAGTAACAAAAGGCTAAAAGATATGACGCCGGAAGACGAGCCTCTCAGGTCGGAAGGTGTCCAATATGCTACTGGGGAAGAGCAGAGGGCAAGTATAAGTAACCCCAGAAAGAGTGAAGCGGCTGGGCCAAAGCTGAAAGGATGCTCAGTTGTGGATGTGTCTGATGGTGAAAGGAAAGTCTGATGCTGCAAAGAACAGTACTGTATAGGAACCTGGAATGTAAGATCTATGAATCAAGGTAAGCTTGACGTTGTCAAAAATGAGATGGCAAGACTGAACATCAACATCTTGGGAATCAGTGAACTAAAGTGAATGGGAATGGGCGAATTTAACTCAGAAGACCATAAATGGTTAAAACACCATTTAACTCAGAAGACTACTGTGGCCAAGAATCCTGTAGGAAAAATGGTGTGGCCTTCATAGTCAACAAGATGGTGCGAAAGACAGTAACGAGATACAATCTCAAAAACGACAGAATGATCTCAGTCCAAATCCAACGCAAACTATTCAGCATCACAGTAATCCAAGTCTATGCCCCAACCACTGATGCAGAAGAGGCTGAAGTGGGCCGGTTCTATGAACTAACCGGTTCTAGAACTAACACCAATAAACGATGTCCTCATCATCATAGGGGACTGGAATGCTAAAGCAGGAAGTCAAAAGGTAACCAGAATAATGGACAAATTTGGCCTTGGAGAACA